ATGGTTAAACACAAGTTAAAAACTTTTCCTATATTTATACTATACGCCTAAGTGTAAAGTTAAAATATCCTATCTAGTTTTTTTTCATTTTTCATGATTTATTCTAATATTTGAAATTTGAAATGAATTTATATATTTTACATGCTATTTTTTAAAAGTTATAAAGCTTTGAATATCTTAGTAAATATATCTACAAAATTTGAAAAAACTAGATTTAAGAAAAATAGATTTCTTAAATATCTGGAAATACTAGATAGTTTATTTTAACAAATGACAAAATAATAATAATAATCATAATAATAAACAGATTTCATTTAAATAAATTCTTCATACTTTCAATAATCAATGAACTAATTATACACAGATTTAAATATATTTTTAAAATATTTTATATCATTTCATTATTAAAAACTTTTCCTGTACAGATAATAATATTATATAGTAATAAACAAATTCTATATGAATTCCTTTGACTTTCAGTATATTTTTATAATCCTTTATATCCGTTATTAAAACCTTTATTAAAAGTTTAAGAAACAAAGAAATAAAATCATGTACAACAATGAGACGCATTTCATTCAAATATATAGAATGCAAAAGCGTAAAATACAAAATAGTGAATATGTGAAATTATTTCATAGAGCACGAATCAATGGAAATATTTTATTGCATAAAAATAAACAACTTTTCTTCTCATTTTTTAATGGAAAATATGAAACGTGATAGAATACATAAATTCTGCTCTATGTCTACAGTCTACGATATATAGAGCCTAGAAACACTTTTTAAGCATTTCATCAATCATTCTGTCAAACGCATAAATAAATTTCAAATATACATTACCGATCAAAAATTTGAAATCACTTTTCTTTTTAATATTGAACATTTTTTTATTTTAATATAATTTATGAAATTAGATATCAATAGTATTTTTATTTATTTTGATTTTTGATGAAAGAAGTTTCTAAAACTTAATATAACTTAATCTTACCTGTTAACAGTGTTTGACAAATATAAAGAAATGACAATTTTTTTATATTATGATAACATACCATTTATTATAGAAAAAAAAAATTATTTAATATTACTTAGATTTTAATGAAAAATTTTAATGAAAATTAAAATATATTTGTAAATTTAAGACATTTTAAAATATTTTAAAATATAAAACAATAAAAAAAGAACAATAGTAAAAAAATTCATTAAAAAAAAATTTACATAATGTGATTAATAGATATAAAATATTTACAAAAGTGCTTTGTTGTATTTAGTTTTTTAAGTATTTTGAATATAAATAAATTTTTTGTTTTTATAGAAACAAAATCTATTATTTTTTTATGTATTTAATTTTTCTTATTTTATTTTATTTTTTATTTTATTAAAGAGATTATATTTCCTAATTTAGAATTCAAGAAATTTCAAGCATAATTTAGTCAATTTAATCAAGCAATAAAATTATTTATTTTTCGAAGAAAAATCTATTCATTAAAATTTAATTTAATTTTATAATAAATACAGTCTTAATTTTAATCATAAATTTTTGAAATATACACAATTAACAGGTTAAGTATTTGGATTTCTTAGAAGATATTAATGATATCAAATTTATCCAGTTTACACATAAGTAATTTATCGACGAACTTGTGTTAATCGAATTCTTCGTAATCTAATCTAATTGGGTCCTATCGTAAATCCATCTCAGAAAACACTTCACGAATTTGCATGTTCGTTTCAGAAAGAAAGAAAAGAAAAAAAAACAAAAATTACAATAATTATATTATATACTTGTATTGTACACACGCTATACTAGAGAAAAGCTTCGATTCTTTCTAAAGCTTTATTTTAACTTGTCCAATAATATATATTATACATGTCACTCGGTGAACGAAGGTGGGTCACTGGCCAAAACAAACATCACTTTTACATCTACGACATAATCCACGCATCAACTATATTCTTCAATTCTATTAATAAAATAAAAATAAAAAAAAAAAAAAAAAAACACTTGAAATTCAACTTATCTTTTTTCTTAAATGGTCTTTTCCATTCTTCTTCTCAAGAATCACAAAGTAAATTACATTGGATAGACAATCCATTATAGACGATCACCTGATATTCATTTTCATATTCTAATAACTGTATTCTTAGTTAAAAATTTTCAATACTTGTCTTTTTAAATCCTTTTGGATCACATGACACTACAGGGTTATTTTAAACGTGTTTCAGACAAAAAAATTAAAAAAAGATTCTCCTCTCGATTAATGTGATATCTAGCTCACTGATATAGCATTTTTGTGGGTGTCACATAAGAAGAGACCCAATAAAGAAAGGATGCATACCAGAGGATGCCTTCTTGCTTCGTTTTCGAATTTTGTCTTGCGTTTTGATAGCTTAAATCTTCACCGTCAAAAATCCTCCTTTCGAAGAAGGATCTCATATTGCTCCATAATCTGTACGGCAGAAACGCGAGATGAGCTATTTCTTGGTTGTCTACAAACGCATAACAGGAAGCAACCACATCATCTATTAACACCGTTCCTTCAGTCGTCAGAGGAGCGAAGATGCCCTCTTCGAGGACTAACTGATTGTCGATCACTTTGTCCCATCTAAGACGATGTTGCACTTCGATCTCATTGGATGGATCTCTCACTAAGATCTTATCGCCTAATTGAATTCTGCCGGCAAATACAGTTGATCTACCCTCAACAGGAACCAAATGAGCCGGTGTAAGAGTGAGTATATGGCCAGATTCAGTGGTTAGTCTAACGAATTGTCGCCTTTCGGTTAAAGATCTGTCGAGAAAGGCTATTACTTCACTATATACAATGTCACCATTAGAATCGAGCGCCGCGATATGATCGCCAAGTTGAATTTGATCTAATCTCTTCATTGAACCGTCTGAAGTTCGCACTAAGCTCTTGCCTGGGAAGCAACCTCCGGATTTCGCTGCGGATGAGGATTCTGAAAATGAATAATTAGATTAGTTTGAATATTTAGTAACTTTTTATACAAGAAACAAAAATTTTCATGTATCATTTTATATTTTATGTGCTTTTTACTTTTAATAATATTTTTTAAGCATAATGAGTTATATGTAATGCAATTTTTTTTTTTACCAAAGTATTTACAGAATATGAAATATAGAATGAAATAACTTTATTTCTGTTATATCGCTCTATCTTATATCGCTTTTCATCTTATTTCATATAACACTAACTTAAATTTTTTAAAACAAAAAATTAATTAAATTAAAAAAATTAAATTAATTATAAATTATTTATAATTTAATAAATAAATTTCAATTTGTTATTTTATATTTTTTTTTTGATTTTCAGAATTAATTTTCATGAATATATTATTAGGATTATTTATATATATTTCTAACAAAATAAAATATATTATATTTTTCAATTTAAAAAGAAATTTTTAAATACAATCGTAAAATCATAAAATTTATTAGAATTTTGACAGAACAAAGAAAAATGTATGGAATGAAATATTTGTCATAAATAAAATGAAATAAAATGCTATAATGAAATTATAATATTCATAATCACTATTATCATTATTATAATGAAATTATAAATTATAAATTATCTTAGAATATATTTATATTGGTCTATTCAGAATAATATTAATAGAATTTTAGCAATATAATTTTTATTTAAATAAATCATTAAAATTTTAAAATCATTAAATCATAAAATATATATATAGTTAAATAAATCTTTAAATACATATATATATATTTTATGTGCTATTATATATATATAAATTTTTTATTTGAATTGCTTTTAGACTATTTTCTATTTTTAGTATTACATAATATTATATATTTTTATTAAAATAAATTATTCTATTTTTATAATTTTAAAATTGATATTAATAATATATAATGTAACATATATAAATAAATTGATAATAACATTAAAAAATGAAATTATTGGTTATATTATTGATATTGATTTGTTTAAATTAATTTTGATTTTATAATTATTAAAACTAGTTAAAAATTTACTTCCTTTATAAATTATTATGAATTTAAAATATCTCAAATATTTCAAGTTTGAACATTCTATAGATCTTTTGGAAAAATAAAATATAAAACAATCTTTGAACAAAAATTACAATGACACAAATTACAATGAATATCATTTTTTTATTCTTGATATCTGTTATAATTATAATCCATAAAGAATATTCATTATTAGTACTATATATCTACTATTTCAATTTCTTTCTTGATTTAAATATTTTGTCATGTTTAGAAATTTAAATTTAATCATAATTATATAATTAATTGTTTATAGTAAAATATAATTAAATAAACAATAAAAAATTATTAAATAATAATATTAAATATTAAAAATAAAATGATTTCAAAATATTAAATAATATAAATATAATATAATATAAATTATTATAATAATAATATA